CACAATGTATACACCGTGGCTTCACTTTCATCACATGATCATCAATGAAGTTTACACTGACTCTTTATTACCATTTTTCACTAAGCTGATCAGACAAGTCTTTCTCTTTATATGCTAGCATATATTAATTGTGATAGGAATATTTAGTATTACATCTAGTTGTTATTATTATATTCGAATGTTATTGTGCTTTATTATGTCAGTCTGCCCATATAAAAGTTAGATCTTGCCTTCCCGATCATAGCCGAGACCGCCAAACCACGTCTACCACACCTGATCCCACGAATACATATAGATTGAAACATATTTGACAAGTTTCTTACTTAAAATTAAACCATACAGGGTGCACTGGAAATGAAAGGTATCCATCATGCCCACAAACAAAATCAAACCGAAATGACGCGTTCTTGAAGGGTCGAAAGTAAAATGTAATGGACCTTCGGAAATTTCATCATTTTAAATACACAGAGCGCCATCGTAAATTCTAACAAACTATAGTTTGAATTTAATTTGTTTAAAAAAGGATTAAAAAGAGCAAGAGAGACAGTGTGCGATGGACACATATAATTTCGAGCAAACACGAATACATATAGAAGTTGATATAGAGAAACTGGATTTCACAATGGTTTAGATATATACATCATAAAAAGAATGATTCATAGAAAATCAGAAGGTCTATACTAATGAGCTTTGAAAAATATAAAGATAATTACTGGTGGAGTTACATGAGGACAAGTCCATGATATAATACAATTAAGTAGAGTGCAAAAATACAATTGATGCATTACAAGTTACTCGTCGACATTATTTTCCTTTTTTTCAGGAAACTATAAGCTTACATGGTATATGCAAGCTATCAAGTCGATTGGTTGAAGCATTCAAGTGTCCATGGCAAAGATCGCTGCCAAACTTGCTGACTGGTTAAAAGTATTTATTTTTCTCATAAAAGCTTTTGCCATGCATGCTAAATATCAAGTTGATCGGTTAAACGCTCAGTAACTTTTCAATCGTTTTTGTCGCTTAAAAAACGCAGCGGAAATGTTCACGTGACCATTGAAGTTACACAAATTCTCTTATGTGTACGTATGTCCACAATCGGAATGTCTTCAATGAAAAAGTTTAGCAAATTTAAAGTTATTAGCAATTTTAGTAATGTAATAAGGTGAAGTGAAGCATACTAAAAAGAAACACAGAGAGTGAGAAAGAGAGTTGAACAACAACATGCAAAATACATAACACATTGATAGTAATATTAAGTCAAGCAACGAGACTTGAGGAAAGACATGCCGGGAGAACCATTTGTCAATGTAAAATATAAAATGATGAAGTATAGACATGCAATAATACCAAATAAACAACAAGTCTACAGAACAAATATATATAAAGTACAAAATATATACATACTGAGTTACACTAGGAGAAGTTGAGAGACAGTATAGGAAAGTCAGTGTGACACAAAGACAGCAATGACAATACTGATGTACAATATAACGAGGTTTTACAGATATATCAAGCAAGAGTGTTAAATGATATTTATTTACTATTGAAGTCAGTTCAATAATGCAACCTCAAATCAAATAATAGTGGAGTGGGAAAAGCTAACTTATTGAATGTACATTCACAAATATGCACAATAGATGATCATGAGTCATGTTCGGAAATTTGCTCTAGCATTTGTGTGCATGATATATTTGATGTATTTCATACATACATGTTGGGTAATAAAATGTTGCTCTTTTACGAACATAGGCATATCAATTAGCGAGTAAACACAGCAGCTTCTAAAAATATTGTAGCACTATTAGACAATATCAGTACACCTCCATGAGATCAACGGCCCAAAAGATTTCATGAAATTCCTAGACACGATTTATGCACTACCCAGCGGGCTGCAGTACAGGGAGGAATTATGGTCGTCGAAGCAGAGAAAAATAGACATCATTTAGTGAGAGTAAAAATTAAGCTTTGTGCCCAAAGAATGGCATAATTAGACATACCAATAGACGATAGACAACAACTAAGAATTTATGCAATGGTGAACTAGGCATGGAAAGAAGCAGAATGAACGAAAGTAGAAGATGCAGAAAGACACGATTAAATGAAGGAATAATGTAGACAAACCACTCGGATACCAATTAGAGAAGAGAACATACATATGATCCAATAACAAACAATTTCTTCATATACTGGCAATAATTTACCTGAGTATGAATCTGAAATAAATCCCCGAGATCATCATAACGCATGTGCAAAGAAGATTTGACTGACTAACGCACTTCAACCTAAGGCGATTACTTCACAATCACAGAATGTATATAACCAGCTTGAAATATATGTTGTATATATTAAAAAAAATATAAAATAAAATTACTACATCAATCATATCATACCTTAGAACTGTAGAATAGCACAGGCTAGATAGTACCGTTTCGTGGGGTTGGTTGAGTGTAGCAATACAGTCAAATGATGATGGATGTAAAGGCAAAAACTAGTCCTAATACATAGCATTCGATGAGTTGTCAATCACTGGTAACATATGTAAAATTGTATTCACTGAAAAACTGTAAAACGATGAATACAATAACTTGTAAAGAGTTACACCTGCTCCGTCAAAACAATGTTTGCAACGTGCTTGTAATGAGAAAAGGCAGCTTTTGCTGGTACACAGATGCGAAACAGACTGTATGACACATTGTTCTGTCAATCGAAACTATGGTTCACGAAAAGGTTTAATTGTTAGATTATTGACCAGGATCGCAACTACATGAACTGAGAGAAAGTCACAAATCTAAGTTCATACTGTCCGGAGTGTACTGCTCTTAAGAACAAATAAAGAATGTAGGACAACTTGTTAATGCAATTGATTGCCTGAAACTAAGATGTAAAATAAGTGTTGGCATTACATGCCTAGTATAAAGCATAATATAAAATAAGTAATTGCAGGTAAGAGTATTTTGTTTAAACCAATGTGTATGGAGAGACTATGAATAAAAAACTGTATGCAAAGAGATTGGTTGGGGCAAAATAATCCGAATCATCAGAAATATAACACCACGAATTTACCAACCTAAAATATAAGTGGAGGGACTATAACGAATGTTGACACAGTGTCATGTTACATTACAAATATTTAAATATTGTAGCCAGTATCAGGGATGATATAAATAGGGTATATGTGGGTACGAGTTTATTGTATACATCTATGTATGTTATTCATAACACCAAAGCTGGAGTATCCATGTGCTCGTGAAATAAAGATGTCAACAACATTGTTTTCAATGCGAGGCAAGCTTCAAACATTCTACGGCTAATATTAAATTTGAGTGACGATATCACGTTTTGTTTACATACTGGCGATTATACAATAAAGTTTCCTAGATTAGATAGAGTTTGATAGATTAGATGTCATCCTCATTAAAATATTAGTTGTCAAACAGCAGCATGCTTGCTCGATCTACCCTGTGTAGACAGCGACCGTTTACTGTTTTTGGGTGACTTGTCACTTCAACAAAACTCCTAAAGAAAGGCTGACACTTCCACGAGTCTGTGGCACGAATTGGCACTAGTCGTAAACAGGCGTGAAGTGTGCGTAAACCCGTCATGGCTGCAGAACGAGAATTTTGAAATGTTCAAAATTGTGGTCACGACAAAATGTAGCGACCGGCTCGTGAACTATACGCAAACTGTTCGTGAACTCGTCGTGCCAGTGTCACGAATAGTTCACGAACAGCCCACGTCGAGTTCAGTAGTAGTTCACGAAATGGTGCGGGTGCGTGGCAGTGCATTCACAGCGAACACGGCCACGTGTACGTTGGTGACAAGAGCAGTTTACGCACTTCACGAAAAGTTTGCGCATAGCACAAGCAGTTCCGACGAGTTTACGAGCAGGTCACGACAACTGTGCGACAGTGGCGCGTCGGTTCAGGGGTATATATAGGGCTTCCTAGACGCTGCTCACCATTCCAGAGATCAACGAACAGACTTATATCACAGAGACAACATGCCTTAAACAAAGCAGACACAGCCAATCCCAAAATGACCATGGGTTATGGAGACCTTCATTTTACATGGCGTGCCCAAGTCGGCACGACACCATCCAAATTGGGCAAACCCGTCGTGTCAATGCAGGAATTGCGTAAACTATTACCAAACTATGCTTGAACTCGTCGTGACATTTTTTGTCAATGTGGACACTGATGCGCACGCATTTATGTACTATTCGTGAACTCGCTGTGAACTAGTCGTGAACTGTTACAGTGCAGTAGCCGTCCAGTTCGTGCTCCAAAATGGCACGAATTGCCAAAATCGACAAAATTGTGGCCAAATTCGAGCCTTGCTTATCTTTATTATAAAGTGTCAGCCTTGCTTATCATTATAATTTTGAAGCAAAAGTAAATTAAATCAATGATACAGTAAAAATGTTTGCTGCATCATAGTCATATTTAACGAAGCCATATGCTTCATTAAACCTTGGCTTGTAAAAATTGAAACGTTGTATCTGTTGAACAAAGAACTATAAAATATCATCGCGAGTATAACAATGTGAATCTGAATATATGCAGCACCAGTTCAAAATAAATTGTATTCATTACTTAAGTGACTTTGAACCAACAATAAACACAAGTCACATATGATTGCTGTATCAATCGTATAACACCTAGAGAAGTCTAAAGACTGAACTTAAAATGTTTTGGAAGTACGATTAAAAAATATAGCATGCACGGATTTAGGATGGAAAATAATAGCATCTGACATCTGTTACTTATTTTTACTAGTTACAGATGCAAAATTCGTGTTTTTGATGAATGTTTTGCGATAATGTAAGCAATATGGCTGCACAAAAATAATCACTGAAGTCAGATGGTGTGATGCATTTAACTGTCAATCAAAA